TTTTCCCTTCCTGCCTGTTTTTTGTTTTTTGTTGGGGGGTATATATCTTTTTTAAACTATTATCTCCCCTCCTGCCCTATCTTTATGCTGGGCAGCGGATGTGTCGGCATGTCTATGAATTTCAATTATCTCAATCTATTCGATAGTGACCCTCGACTAGCTACTTCTTCATTGGTTTGATTGGTTTAATTCACCCAAAAAACAAAACAAAAATGGAACAAAAATAATATGTGAGTTGTGCTGACAAAATGAGTTACTTCTTTCGGATTTTAGCCGTATGGAAATGGATACATTTAACTTTATAGGTGGAGTTTGTACAAATTTTAAGTTGACCTTGACCTTGACCATCAATGATTTATTTATAGAGGCACCAGCCACCCATGTCCAGGTGCTGTTTTAGCCTCTTTTTCGTGTATGCGGATTAATAATATACAAATTTTACGTATGGAATAATAAAAGACACGGTAGACTTGAACAAAACGGCATCACTGAAAATCTGTACATCTGACCCCCCGTGTTGATTTTGGGCCGATATCTTACCTTCCATTATTAGATCTCGAGAAATTACTCATTTCGTCAGCACAACTCACATTATATTATACTTCTTAAAGGTAATCATTTTGGTGAATGGACATGTGTATAAAATGATAATATTATGTGTGTAGTCGGTGGTTATGTGTGGCATCGTGAGCATGCAGCATGACGAATTGTTCCGTGGATGTGTGTTTTTCATTTACATTTTTATTGTGATTTTTCATTTACATTTTAATTGTGATTTTTCATTTACATTTTTATTGTGATTTTTCATTTAGTGACTACTAACATGTGTACGTAGTTCCTTAGAATTTCACAATTTTGTTTCTTTTAGATTCTATAACCCATATATAACCCGTTATAGTATTTTTCATTTATATAATTATTATTTTGTTTATTTTTAATTGATACGATTAATAATAATATATTCTTTACTTCCCCTCTAAGGTTTCCACTTATCAGATTATCTCTTTCTTAGCGCTAAATGGCCTGTAGTATGTTGATATATTTCTCTATATGTATTGCTCCTTCTTTCCTATCGAACAACTATCGTCTCTATCTCTCCTCCTTCTTTCTTATGTTTGTTACTCTCTTGCAACACCTCTAATCTTCGATACTTATATGATCGTATTGTGTTGCAAGTGCCGTAAAACTCTTACTAAAAAGTTGTATTGCGCTCGCAACTGCACAGGGTTAAACGAGCGTGCGTTTATCTCGTTTCTTCAGTCCTCCTCTTTTCACTGAAGACGACACCATGTGAAAAGTTCTTCATTGAGGTCATGATTTTCTTGTCGTCGCGTCAAAAACACCACCTCTATCATCGATCGAGTTCAGAGACTCTGCTACCATCTTTTAATTAGTGCTCATTGTCATGTCAATACGTCATGGGTTTAATTGTCAAAAGGTTTTGGTCATGACTCAACATGTTGCTTGAATTATTATCCCAAATACTTTTTTTCACCTTTACTTGGACAAATGTGTTGCCCAGTCTTAAATAACTATGTATCGCAACCAAATATCTCGTGTGTGTGTCTCTCACAAAAAAATCCTCCTCCCCGCCACCCCA